TATATGTTTATCATATAAAGTCTAATGTTACAACTAATCGGGGATCCCTTTAACTAACTCTCAATAAAATAGTAACTTACACTAAGTTCACACTGTAGTTCTTAATGCTCAATTCCATTTTTTGCTCACATCTGATTTTATTTTTTTTGCATGGTTGTTCACATGATTTAACTGTGWCCTCAGACTCCTGTGTGAATAGTCCACCTCCCTGAAGCGACCCGAAGAGAAAAGGACGTGACATCACATGAAACACACTGAGTTTACCAAAGTAAATATGGATGCTACACATGTTAGCATGTGTGGATCAGTCTGAAGTTGTRCAGTCAGGATCTGCATCTCCTACTGCAAAGATCTGCAGTTCTGGACCTGGAGGGATGTGCTAAGGTAGAAACAAACTCTAGTACTGATCTAATCCCATCAGTACCGATACAATCTGACACCAACGTTGGCACCACATGTTGGTGCAGATTTTCAGTCAYCCAGGACACGTCACATCTAAGCTACATCTGTAGCTGAAGACGTGCAGAGGTCCAAGCTTTAAACTGCATGATGTTGGCATCAATAATATCAATAACTGGATCGATCCACTCACCTCCACCTCAYTGATGTAAAAAGCGTTCAGACTGAGGTCGCTTTGAAAAGCATCAGATAAGTATCTGATTTAGCACCACGTGAAAAACACCTGGGTCAGATTTTAAAAATGTGATTTATTATGGTCAAACTAGCCTGGCCCTTGGCTTCCTACGGCAGCTCCGCTCAATTCTAGTTTCCTTCTCTGCTCCGTCTGGGATTTCTCCCACAGACAAGGATTTCGCTGGCAGATTTTTAGCCGGGCCAATCAGAGAACAGAACGTCAAATTTCTGCGCAGTGTCTGCTTGTAGTTTGTTTTTACCTGGGCCAAAATATGGTAATGTTGGGAAAAATTTTCATTCATAAATGTAGATTTTTTAAAGCTAAGCCAAATATAGATTATTGGAAAAATCACCTTAAAACATTTGGTGAATCTCTTAGTCTAATTAAAAACACATCTGCTCAACGTCTTAATACTTTAACAACTTTGGTTTGGTTTAAACCTCTTTTTGTCTTTTTTCCCCTTTTTTCAGTTTATTCATTCATTTTAGATTTTTTTCCTTCTTATGGTTGATACTGTGTTTTGTGTTACTTATAACTCAACCTGTAATACCTGATATCTTAATGTAACGTTTTCTGCCATGTTTTGTTTGTAAATGTTTTCAATGAAAAAAAAAGAAAAAATTTACCTGGGCCAATCAGCAAACAGAAGGCGGAGTTTTGAATGACGTTGATGTTCTGCGCAGTGTCTGCTAGTTATTTTAGCATATGACAGTGGAGGAAGTGAATGAAGCCAGTCTGTGTTGATAAGTCTTCCAAATTAAATTTAGATTATTAGCTTAGCCTCCTTCACAGCGACATACGTCGCAGCCAACTGATCCAATCATTTTAAACTTCAGCAGAGGCCACGCCTCCTGCAAGAAATCGATTCTCTATGCAGCAAGTCCAGACCCTTGTACGAAGCAAAGTGAAGGACAAGGGTCTGGTTTAAACCAGGCTACGTTCAAACCCTTAAAAAAAGAAATCTGATATGGGTCACATGGACAAATAATTTGGTYGCAGGCCACATTTTCCTGCAGTTTGAACTTAGCCGAAATGCATTTTTTTATTATATTTTTTAATSTGAGTCGTCTCAGTCAACTTTGGTGCAGAGCTGGAAGAGTTGTTGACAACGGTTAAAGCACTGAGTAAAAAGAAAAATATAAACGAGCTTAAAAGCTGCTTATAGGTGATGGGAAAGTTCACTAAAATATTTCTTTGTCTTAGAAAGTAAAGTGGCTAAATGATCATTCTCAAAAGGCTTGATACGATTTTATTTTTGTTTAACGTCGTCGTGTGAACCATGTTTTTATCACATGTATGAGTTTCTGCTGTTTGTTTTCGCTTTCAAGTCTGGCTTCTTCCTCCTCTTCTCTCATCTCTGAGTCCTTTCAGGCCCCGCCTCCTCTAACCTCTGCTAAACGAGGCGTGGCTTTGACCGACATCCAGAGGATGTAAGAACATCAATAAGAGAGAGAGCTGTAATGGACAGTGTGCATGTGAGTTTCTCTGTGGACGACTGAAGTTCTGAACCGATCGATTACATCATCAAACCAAAGGTCGACAGGTGGGATGAAAARGAGGATGAGGATAAAACAAAAAGAGGGTTTACTTTGACTGTCRTCCAACTGCTCCGTGGCCTGCATGGCCTTTCGGATCTGCATGCGGATGATGTCGATCTTTGTCTTGCTGTCCTGCAGCATCTGTTGAGCTGTCTGAAGAAGCTTCTTGTCCTGAAGAGTTTTTAAAAATGCATCAMTTAAAAGTGCACAAGAACACCCACCAGACTTCTGGCTGATGTGTCGGTAACAGACCTTGGTTCCACCACTGGAGTAGATYGGGATCATGTTCTCTGCTCCCTGCTTGACCTTCAGCTCAATGTTCAGCTGCCGCTCCAAGGCTGCAATTCGGTGCTGCTGATTGGTCCGATTGAGGGAGCCGGGAGACTTGTTGGTGTCTGATCCAGGAAACAACCAGAGGAAGAGGTCAAGTTACTGTTGATGCTTGTGTTCACCTTTAAGCTGCACTCTCATTGAAAAATAAAGGTAAGAGAAGCCTCTAAAGTAACCCATAATGACTACAATGGATTGGAAAAGTATTCACCCACTTTGCGTTCTGTTTAGTTGATTTACAACCTGGAGTTTGTTTTAAAAAGAATTTAGGAGGCTTTTAATTTACTCAACATAACTACCTTTGTTCTCATCTTGACCCTTAACGACAATATATGCTTCCAGCTCCTGCAGCTGGGCTTGGAGGAAGTCCAGCTTCCGCTTGGAGCTGCGGAGCTGCGAGTCCACCTGCTGTGCATTTCTCTTGTCCGTGATGGCCCTGCGCAGGTTCTCTGCACCCTCCTTGATCTTCAGCTCCTTACGGATCTCCCTGCGGATCTTCTCGCGGTGCTCGTCCAGGCGCTGCTGCACGGAGGTGTCCGAGAAGTCCGAGTTCTGGTCCAGGCCAAGCTGCTGGAGCACCGACAGACCGTCTGGATCGGTCTAAGAAAAGAGAGAAAGAGGCATGAATGGAAGATGGCAGGACATGTAAATAAGCCACTGCACAGATTGTGTAAGCCAGTTTCAAAAAAGTTCAGATGCTATGAATAAAAACAGAACGCAATGATCTGTAAACTCATAAAACCATTCTTACTCACAGTGAAACATTATAAAACAGATGTCAGACTCATTTTCAACGACAGCCACATGAGTGTTATGGTGGCCCTCAAAGGGCCAGGGGTCTCATTTATAAAGGATTGCGTGGAAACCGTACTAAAAGTGAACGTACTGCCCAAAGGCGGAAATGGCGTACGCCAAAAAAAATTCAGATTTATAAAACCGTGCGTACGCATGTTTCTGCGCATCTTTCCTTTATAAATCACAGCCGCACGTCAGAGTTTGCGCACGAGGTCCTCCTCAGGTTCTACCCTCTACACGCCCACACTCAACCATAAACAGTCAATGTAAAGTACCTGATGAATGTTAAGATG